ACCTCATGTGGGCCAGATGGGGTACATAAGCCTCAGACACTGTGGTAGCTACAATGGTTTCCCAAAGAAATTGATTTTCTGCGTTAAAGGCAGAGTCTTCTAACAGCAATCATTTCAAGGTAATACATCAAGGTTGATGAACTATCAATGAATTACACGCATATTTCATTTTTAACTTTCTGCCAGCTTATAAACCACTCCTTTTGGATTTTTACCAGGAGGAAATAAATTAGAAAAATATTCATTTTTCCAGAGAAGACAGGTCTTGGAACTTCTCCCATAGCAAATTTTGAGGAATGTAGTACTCTCCTCAACACCTGACAATCTTTTTTCAGTGTTCAAATGCCTAGCTTTTGGCAAGTTTATCTCCCATTACTCTTCTGCACAGAGACAAGAATTTCAGCCTGATATTAGCTCAGAGCTTTCTGTTCCATTTTTCCTTTTTTCACCTCAATTTTTGTTTTCACCTCAATTTTTTGGGGTTGACTGTTGGACTCAGTGACCTTAGAGGTCTTTTCCAACCTTAATGATTCTATGATTCTAAGATTCTAATAATGAAGCCAGTTCTTAAAAACGCAAGAACGTGGCAGCTTGAAGCAGACCAAAATGGGATAAATCTTCAAGCCGTCAAGGAAACGCTGACTGACATCTTAAAATGTCTGCTGCCTCGAAATACCCCACACAAAACAAGAAATACCACTTGGGCTCAAGTGGTACAAGAAAACTACTTTGGCTTCCTGTTAACAGAAAGACATGTGTCTCATAAATGAAGTAGGCCCAGGCCCTCATTGCAATTGGTCATTTTTGTACCGCCAAACAAGCAGAACAACAAAAAAAGCTCAAACCCCTAACTTCAACCACAGTACATGGAGTTCCTCACATAGAAGTATGCTTACATGGAGTCCCTTGCTACTTTGAGTTAAAAAAATACAAGTTTTTATATTAAAACTGTAATAGACATGTAAGCTTACAGTCTCACACAATAGACACAGCATGCCCATAATTTTTCCTAGTTAGAAATAATTTTAAATTCTGAAATTCTACATAGTTTTAAATCAAATACCACCTCTTTTCTTCTCCTCCCTCCTTGGCTGTCCCAAAACAGCCTTTTCTCTCAATATGAAGGGTTCCTCCAAAAAGAAACTTATTTGCAAGGAAAAAAAAAAAGGTTGTAGCACATTATTTATTCCTGTTTATTCCTGTTTCAGGTGAAACCCAGTATCGAGTAAATCATCAGAACCAGATGCAGAAATGATTCACAGTCCCCACATGAAAATTATCCCATCTTAGGAATGGAAATGTGATCCCACATCGTTCTGGTAGCTCGTGAGATCTACACCACCAAAACAGAGAGATTCAATTTCCAGAAAAGCCACCAGAGACAGGCTACAGAAACAGCTGAAATTAGATATTGTCATTAGTTACTCCAAAATCTGCATAGCTGGATTTACTGCACCAATACCAAAAGGCTTTTACTGGCAAAGGAATAAGTGTGCATGTGCACACATCCATGCACACACACTTTCTCCTGAAAAAAGTACATAAAACCAGTCCCATGAAGCAGATGGTTAAAGATTTTTGGACATTCACTAGGGATGCACAGTTTCTCTGCACTACGAGTCAATAGTGCAGGCCTTCCAAATTCAGACCAACAGATAACGTTTACCCTACGTATCACTGAGCGGAGCACAGACTTGTCCAAGTTTCTCCTGCCAAGGTGGCTCCCCGCTACATCCAGTAGTTGTAGCTGTCGGCTTGTGCACACTTCTTTCTCCAACTGAGGCTTTCACATTGCTGTGCAGCCCCTTGTGACGAATCCAGCACCAGGTCAAAACTGTCACATTAATTAGCAATGATGGAAAATTAATCCTGTTTTACTAAAATTTTCACCTCACATTTCCCACACTTTCCATTTGTTTCAGGTCTAAATAGTATCTGAAGAGAATGGAGATAGACTCTCAGCACTGCACTTGCATAAAAGTCATACATTTGTTTTCTTGAACACACAGAAATTTGTTAAAATAACACTGCATTAAAGTAACCCCCCATTCAAAAATTTTCTGTTCTTTTCAAAGAGGATGATACAGCCCATCTTCAGCAGGTTTTCAAAAACTCAATAGTTCAACAATAAGTATCTACTGATCATCTGAAAGAGAGTAATTTAAAAGCTATTTTAGGCTATCTAATTTCATCAAAACCAACAGTAGAGTTTGGGCAGTTCGAGGACATTTGTCTGTCTCTGTATTTGGGAAACCTGTTTTATATATGCTTATACAAGCACAGCGCGAAAAGAGCCAACACAGCTTGTGCAGGCCACATAGCGCTTTCCTTTGCGTAGTGCAAATCTACTTCAGCAAATGGAATTGACTAGAACTTTGCTCAGAACTGCAAGGCACTGACTAGTCTGGCTCAGTTTGACAGACCACTTAAGCTGATGCATGTTTTTAAGATCTAAGTGAAGATGCTTTTGAAGAAAAATGTTGTTTACACGCTTTATTTATGAGAAACAGAATGGTCTGCATCTGTAAGAGAAAATCTGAAGTGTACATTCAATTTGACCTCCATTATTTATCAATTATTTAGCGCCAAGTAGTTAAAATTGAGATGGACCAAGCAGATTAATCCCTACACTCCTAACTGTCAGTGTGTGCTTGGTGGTTAATTGACATCATGCCAAATCCAGGGGCTATCCCTCTCCCACCTATGTATCTACTTCGAAGAATTTCATTCTGGAGTGGGAGACTCATAGATGTCCACTGTCCAGAGGGTCTTCTGGGAATGGTGAAAGATAAAAAAATCTTAAAATGGGCTCAATTTTTAGGAAGTGATTACTCTAAACCAAATTGCAACAGGTATTGAGCTTGCTTAATTTCTATCAACTTCTAGTTAGAATTAGTGAAGTGATGAAATCACCACTTATATGACAATTTCCTGAAGACAACAGCTTTTTTAACCAACCTGGGTTCTGTGTCTGCTTCCCCATTTAGTCATTGTCACCCACTTGCAGGTCTCAGCTAACATTTGTTCCCCACCAGTAGACTAGCTCCAGCTGTTAAGTCCTGACCCAGTATCAGCCCTTACCCTCATACTCCTAAACCCTTTTATACCTGAGGCAGTGATGCTATCCCAAGCATAGCCCTGCTTCTGCATTCAACCAGCCCCCATTTCCCCTGACCCTCTCCCATTAAAGCCTGTATCAAAGGAGCCTACACTCTTCCTTCTATTTTCCATTTCTTATAGCTTACCATCTGCTCCTCAGTTCTTACAGTCAGCACAGCCTTAACTGCCATTTTTGGATGCACTGGGACATGATTTCATGTCTCTATTTTAAAAGGAAAGCTGCTGAATGTTAAAAATGCAATATCAACAGTCAGACTTATCACTACACAGATGGAAAAGATTTCACATGTTCCCACTAACACTATTAATTTTTGTTTTCTCAGTCAAGCTATGATAAAACATATAACATATAAAGACAGGTGAATATGGCTGCATCTGTATAGTGTATTTTGCTTTAAAAGATAAACTGTGTTGAAAACTAATGACAAAGAATATCTTTATGAAATAGCCAACAGTGCAGATTGCCACAGTTCCTGTAGTGGCATTAATTTCAGAACGGTGGGCTAATTCTTGCTTTTCAAAAGTCAGCAATCTGCAAAGTTGTACACATGCAGAAGATGGGAAGGCAAAAAACCCAACCCTTGTACTGAGGAGAACGAAGCCAAAAAGTTATGATCCTGCAGCAAAACCTCTTAACACACTTATTTTTCTTTGCCCAAAGGGAAATCGTGAAACTTTCTAGAAAACTTATTTTCCTGCCCTAAGTTGTACAGATCTTCTTCATCTAAAACTCAAAGCTAGAAAGACAGAAGAAAAAGTTACAGCAGATGCCCCAGGGTAGCCTCAGTTGTAGAGTCATTACTGTGATTCATAATGGAAAAAAAACAAAGAGGCATTTCAAGTCAACCTGTAAGCATTCTCATCTGGGTAGGTCTGGTCCATGTGTGCCTATCTACATTAGGAAATTCAGCATATATAAATATATAAATAAAACATATGTACAGTACATAGTCACATTCATGTAAGCCATAAAATGACATATATTTACAAAAATATTTGCAGCTATGTTTTACATTTTCAGGTCCACATCAGGAATTTAATTTTTTAGTTTCTGTCTTATGAACTTGATCACCTTCCTAAGTAGGAATCTGGGATGAACTTGTACCTTATATATTCACAATTGTCAAAAATAAGAAAGAAGAAAATAATCTTCCAAGGAATTCTGCCAAGTCCATAAGAAAAGTTGAAACTTGTTGAAGCATTAGCTGCCTCACTGAAGGGTAAATTACATGTTAGCAAACATTGAGAGACCTTCTCCTCTTCATGTAGAAAGACCGTACCTTGGTCTAGTCCATAAATAAATTTGAAACTCATAAAACATCAGGCAGAGCACAAACTGGGTGCCTGACAGCTGTCTGTAGTATAAACTCATGCATAATTACTATTCTAGTTGTCTCAGTTTAAACTGGTAGAGCGGTGAAAGTGAAAATGCATACATCAGGCTACCTTACGGGGTAAAAAGGTAGACAGTAGACTACATCCTGTTGGCATTGTTGTAGCTTTCTTTAACAGTAAGTTACATGGTTAAAACAACCCCAAGGATCTCACATTTATACAGTTCATATTATACAGTTCTGTGACTTCGAGGAGTTGGACGTATTTAATTTGCTTCTCCCAAGATGGAAAAACATTTCTTTGCTGCTTCATAAAATAGTCTTCTTAGGTATGCAGCCCAGGTTCAGGCATTCTTTTTTAATTTGGCGGATTCGCCCTTGTCACATGAAATAAATTTTGCAAAAGGAATTAAAGCTTTGGAGAAAGGGTTGTTTTCCTTTTGAAGAACACTTTGAAAAAACAAACCTCGAAATACAGCAGTTTAAAGTGCCTGTACATGAAGACCTGTGGGGAAAAATCTTGCAATGAACCATCGAACCATGGCCTCAGATAGCACTTTCAGCGATAGGCTGTGGAGTCATCTCTTGCTCCTCGCTGTTCTCTGTGGACATGTCCTGGACCTCCTGCTGCTGATAGATATCTTGGACCAGCATGATGTTTGTGTTCCTCCACTCTCTGTACTTCATTGCCGTCAATTTTGGGTCCTCTAGCAACTGGTTAATTGTGGCCAGGTCATGTTCCTTACACTAGGAAGAGAACAAGTGGTTATTTCCCACAGAAACTGTCAAGCTCATTGTCCTTAACAAAAACACACCGGGAACGTTAGAGAACCCTGTCACAAGGAGGTGGCCAATTATCCTTCCTCCTGGCACCTTGTTCCCATTTTTAGAATGTAGATCATCAAAGTTAAGCCCACAGCAGTAATTCATCCCAGTTGAAGGCAAGATTATGATTTCACATAGATTTTTCATTTTATAGGATTCTTAGTGAAACTTCATGAGAGAGAATTCATGTGAAAATTAGACATTGTTATGCTGTCTCACAACAAGTTAGTACTCGCATGAAACTAGACACAACAACATTTGTTTCTGTAATTCACACCAATTCCAACTTTCTCAAAAAATACCTATTCCCTGGCCACATTATAAATGTCTCTTCTCTGGGAGCTAGATAGAAAATAATTTTGGATATAATCCGTGCACTGGCAGTAGAGTTTATGGGTGGCTAGAGCACATGTGGCTGCTAATACATCTACCACCAGCTATTACTAACAAATCTGGTCTCTACTTGTAGACAACAGCAGCTCAGACTGTATATTGCAAGCACCCTGGTTCAATCATAAGACATGAACAGTCACTGATATAGGGAGACTGAGACCCTTTATGTCACAGAATCACAGAATGGTTGAGGTTGGAAGGGACCTCTGGAGGTCATCTGGTCCAACCCCCTTCCTCAAGCAGAGCCACCTGCGGCAGGCTGCCCTGGATCCTGTCCAGATGGGTTTTGAATACCTCCAAGGAGGGAGACCCCACAGACTCTCTGAGCAACCTGTGCCAGTGCTTAGTCACCCTCACAGTAAAAGTGTTTCTTGATGTTCAGAGGGAACCTCCTGTGTTTCAGTTTGTGCCCATTGCTTCTGGTCTTGTCACTGGGCATCACTGAAAAGAGCCTGGCTCTGTCTTCTTTACACCCTCCTTTCAGGTATTTATATTCATTGATGTCCTCACATTTTCTGACACAATGAACCACTTTGCTCTTCCAGCCCTTATTGCCTATCCATGGAGTGGATAGGCAGTGGATCACAGGACAGAGAAGCCCCAGTTAGCAGCTACAATTAAGGGAGGCACCATGCTGCACTAACAAACCTTTACTGCTTTTGCCTAGCTCCATCCCCCCAGTCTGTATGTTAAAGCAATGGAATAGTTCTCACCATCTTCTGCTGCCACCAGTTTCATCATGCCTGAGGATGCTCTGCGCTAGTGGCTGCCTTGCAAACACCTTGAAAATGCTCCCACACATTCACAACACTTCCTGATAGTAGCAATAGTACGCTCACACATCCATATCCCACTACTACTCTAATGATCTATCAACTACTCTATGATGCCTGAGCCACTTTTGAAACACAAAACTTGTTCAACTGTTGGTTTACACAGGTCCTGCCCTCAAGACCTAGTGCCAGCCCTTGTAAGAGGGCTTCTGGCATCGACGCAGAGATATGCACAGTTAGCCTAAGAACAGAGGAGGAGATAGGGAGGCAGAAGGGAGAGAAGAATATTTCCAGTGGACAAAATTGGTGGCAAAAAAACCATGCTGTGGAATTTTTCTGTAGCACTAAATCTATCTCCTATGTTCATTAAGCCTGTGATGCATTTGCACACAGCTTCCCTCTCTTCCAAACCGTCCAAAGCATGTTTTGTTAATGATATGCTGTGGCAACAACATTAATCTCTTGTTAAAGATGTGGAGTCAAAAGTCTAAAATTAAAATTGCACTGAATCTTGCATAAACACTTGTCTCAAACTAGTAGGGTTTTAAGGCAGACTGAATATGGATCAGATGCAAAACTTTTCTGATTTTTAAATTTCCAACAGATCATTTCCAATTATCTCATGTCTCATATGTTAAGAAAATTGACTTAAAAGCACATAATCCCACTGATGCAAAGAATATGGCACTTTCCCACTGCAGTCATTTGCCTTTCAGACAGGCTAACTTAAACACTGCTGCGTATAGAACTCTGTCTGTGAGAAAATGTCTGTACTATATTTGTCTTGTCAATACTCCAACTTCTTAGTTTGAAGAAAGCAAAAAAAGATCAACACATTTTATACATTATGAACACTCCAAAAATGATTTTTCTGCATTAAATACAAGTATTAGACAAGCCTAAGGTTATAAACACTGCTAATCACAACTTAGACAATACTCCCGTGCTAAATCAATGCAAAGTTGTCCTCCTTGCTCATGTCTGGCAGTAAGGCTTCTAGGCTTCCATTCAGCTCCATACTAATGAAATTGATTATCCCACAAGATACAACTCCATTTTGTACTAACTGGTTCTTAGATTTATTAAGGAGGCTCCTATTGGGGAAAACTTTGCAGTTTGTTTCTGTATTTAGTTTCCTGTCACATGAAATAGGCATACTTTTTAAACTAACTTTCTGTTATATGATGGGCTCGCTTTATTGCTGATGCAGGTGAATACTGCTATAGTCAGTATCATGTCACTGAAGACTCTTTGATACGGAGGAGAGACTTCACCAGGTCTCATACAGAGCCTAGAAGCCCTACAGTCAGGAGAATGCCTATATTCCCACTTGTCTTTTCAACTGTATCTTCCGGAAGTTTAACACAGGCTGGCGTGCCAAAGCCAAGCCTCTCGTTGCAACTAATAATCAAATCAATGATTGTGCTGATAGAAGTTTTTCATGCATTTTTCCAGTGTACAATGCCAGAAGCCAAATACACGGACTTGAAACAAAATACTCAATTCCTGCTTCTAATGTATACAAAAAGGAACAAGTGAAGCCCCGGGTTTGCATTCATTCTTTCTTCTCCTTACAATCTAAATGTTATGGTTAAGCTTTCTGTTTCCTCCGTACCATTCAGAAACAGGCTTTGAAATCACATGACACTTGACGCTGGTGAGTAAACAGCCTCATAAATCCCCATATTCCAGACAGATTTACTGGCCCTTTCATGGAACGTCCCCTGAATCCCTCCACCCCTCCAGTTCATGATATGTTTCCAACATAAAAGCAGGATGCTTTTGTTATTAAAAATACTTTAGTTACAGGAGGTCTTTACAATAGGTTTGGCACATCCTGTACATTCTCCAATAATCACATAAGGAAAACTTTTTTTGGCTCAGGGTCCTTTTCATGTCCTTTATCATCAACGTACTTTGTCTGCTCTTCCTTTTTTAAGGCTCCCCTGTTTAGTGCATTCAGTCAAGCTTGCAAGTTTTCCAGCTAACCGAGAGAAGCCTGCTTTATTAAATTTTCCAAATGGGCTGGAACTTCTGCAAGAAGGGTCCCTTCTGAACTACTGCCTCTGTTTCCAGTTCAAATTTAACAACTAAACACAGATCAGTATTCAGAATGAAGTAGAAAACAATTTCAAAAACTTAACCAAATTCTCTGGGGCTTTAAGTAAATATGTAATTAGAGTTTGGTTGAAGTCTAGGCTTGCTGCTTTTTTCATCCAAACTGTTTCCTTCTCTCATGCTTTTCCTTGTCTTGCTGTGCAACCTCACCTTTAATGTGCTGTTCAGCATTCGAATTTTGTGGAGTTTCTCATTAATGGAGGGGTTTTTGCTGCGTTTGATAAATGACTTCCTAAGCTCCTTCTTTGTTGACAGCCGACGATCACCAATGGGAGACAGGCTTGCTTGTTCTAATGACTTGTAAAGTCGCTCCATCTCATCATCACATTTTTCCTGATCTGCAAAGAATAGGATAAATTGGCTATGAGAATGTGAATATGGCAGCAGATAGCAGAAATGGTAAGTTCAGCCATCAGAAAGGCACTTAGCGAAGTCAAAAAGTAACAGTATTAGAGTTAAAAACCAAGGGCAATTTTTAGTGTAATTTATAGGGTAATAATGCATGAGAAATGCATACTACCAAACTCAAATGTTTTTAAGAATCAGCTCGTGATCTAAACAGATACAAGCATGTATTTCCACTGATAGAGTGCTGCTTTAGTGCTCCAGATATATCACAGACTTTGAACAACTGTCAGTAATGCTACATTTGAATGAAAACAACTTTGATAACATCTACACCCATTGACCTTTTCCCAACATGCTGCACACAGTGAATTACATTTCTACCTGGCAACTCACAGGTCAAATTCTATTTGGTGTACCAATTCATCACCAGGTTTTGGTAATGACTGAAACCAGAGTTTAGAAAATTGAGCAATGAAATGGAACGTAGGAACATTTCAGGGGCCCCAAAAGACGGTCCCTAGAAAACAGATTAAAGCAGAAACCCTGGGGGCACCTGATGTTTAACTCCTGCTATTCACAGATTGCAGCACAGAATTTGTTTGCAGAGCCTCACAACAAAACCTTGATTATCTCCACCTTAATTATTCTGATGGCTCCAAAGCTGCAGCACCATCTTCCATGACAGAGAGGACATGAAAGGAAAAGCTAGCTGAGCTAGCTGAGAATGAAATAGCATAAAATAAGATAAAAATTGAAACAAAGACTTTTTTTTCAGAATAAACCAACTTAAAAATGGACAGTCAGAAACTAAAAATGTACCAGGCATATATAGGGGCATTTTGGCAGAAGGCCATTTTCAGCAACAGACTGTGCAACTCGCTTCTTGGCCCTCAGTCCACACTGAATGCTTTTCTACTTCAGTGTTTGCTAAAGGAAAATCTTAAAGTTATTGGTGTTTTCAGGGTGCTAATGAGTTCCTCAAGATCCAGTGGGATAACATCCATTTTTATTTCACTGGGAATGGTGGTGGTGGTTCTTCTCAACTGCCATCCTCCACGTGCCAGTTGAACTGGCTGGGCATTTTTTCTTTTAATTAAAAGTTAACCATTGACTTTTCTAAATCATCTTCAGTCAGCAAACATTTTCTGAACAAAAAGACTTCTCCAACGTGTCAGCACACTTAGGAGGCTGCTCCTTATCTGTTCCATGTTTTAAAAAGTACAGCATCCTCCTACACCCCTGTTCTTTCTAAATATTTAGGTTACAATAAAGGTTTATGACATGCTACAAATATTTGCCTTCACTGTGTTGCTGGCCTTTTTTTCACTACTTTGTGATTATAAAAAGCCTGCTGTAACTTGACAAGAACTAAATATAGCTTCCAACAGTGGTACAGTGCTGGGAGAGGAAAAGGAGAACGGTTGTATATTTAACAAACTGCGGGAAATAGAAAAAAATGCAAGTGTAAGGCATAATACACGGCAGTAGTAGTTCCTGAAAACTGTCGGCTCATGCCATGAGGCTCGTAATTATAACTAGCTTCCTGCCTACTTTCTTGTGATGAAGCAGCTGTTTGTTTCAATAGCCAGCTCCTGCACAGGACTGGCTCACCTCTACTGTAGACATCACCCATCAGGACTGAGCACAGTATCACTTCGAGAGATAAATTGACCTTTATCAGATATGTAAGAAAGTATATAAAAAGAAAAAAAATTGCACAGATCTTTTCCAGCAACTTTAAAATAAGTCAAGCCATGGGTGACATGAGGTCTCTGCTCCAGATATTTTTTGAGGTTAACTCATGATGCTCCTCAGTAGCCTAAAAGGGTTACAAAGCAGCAAGCATGAGAAAACACCCTTGCTGAACATCCTTCTTCCATTCTAAGTACTTTAGTATCTTCTGTGCACTTGTGGGTGAAGGTAAGGAGGACAGTAATACTCAGCACAGAAAAAGATGGAGCCAAATTCAGAAAAGCCCAGCAAAAGGCTCCCAGACAATGCACTTGACCAGCAGTGTGCACTCAGCTCCTGCATCCTTTTAAGATTGCAACCTTAAACTCCTCTCCTATTTCTTATTCTTCTGCCACTCCCACCCCCTAAAGGATTGATCAGGGTCAGGTAATTTCAGAGGGAAAAGAATGTGCCAGATTCTTCAGATCAGGTGGATAAAGGGAGTGACAGTGAAGCGGCTAAATGGGATTTCAGGAAACAGTTGGAAAACAAGGGTGAGTGAAACCTACAGGCGGTGTAGAGCCAGGCGTGAGTTATATAGTACTTTTGTCTCCATCTTTGTTTACACTGATGAGCAGTGAACTTCTCCCACAACAGTTTAAAAAAACAAAACAGTATCTTAATATCGTGCTTTTGTATAGAAGCAGATACTGTTGCTATCAACAAAGAGTACGTCTGCCAATAAACCTCTATAAACTGAGGCCAGGCTCTCTGATACCTATCCGGACTTCTACCTTCAACGTCCTGAGTTCCCCTGGGCCAAGCTCAGAAAGCAAAAGCCCATGTTTTGCAGGCTTGAAGCTGCCACTGAACACACTAGATTGATGCTGTAAATCTGAAAGGGGGAGAGGTAATGGAGGAAGGGGAGAGGCATTATTTCTAGCAATCAATTAACAAGACCAATAAAATGATCTGTGATAAGAAAACATATTTCTCCTCACTCAAACAATGGCGCATTACGGTATTTCACAAGCCTCTTAATGTCATGAAAGTAAATGAAGAAAGCAACACCTATAGTTTGCTTTCTTGTTTTCCCCACAAAACATCCAATTAAGGTTGGATAATAGAGATAAAGCAACCTGACTCAAGCCTTAAGCACAGACTGGACTTTTTCTCCAGATTCAAATATTCACAGCACATTTTCCTAGAACGTGGTATTGCTTAATTCCCTTGCACCTGGAGTCAGAGCACTGACCTGCAGATGAGCAAGTCTCTAACAGAAGCAGAGGCATTCACCAGTTCCGTATTTAGGCTTCAGTGACTTGGATCCCTCCTATGAAACCCGGGCTGTCTAGACCATACTACTGAATTGTTACAAAATATTTGCTTTGTATCACAAAGTAAAAATTTATGCTAAAAGCACATAGTACTCAAGCTCAGGCACTGGTGTAAAAATGAGCAGACTGTCTGTGTCAGCCTCCCAAAGATAAATGTACCACCCCAGCTCTGAGCTTTGTTAACCTCAGGAGGTTTATAACGATGGTTATATTCCACTGGTAAAAATTTTTAATAACATGGACAAGTTGGGCCCCACTAGCACTCCTCTGAAGTGAGTCTTTCCAGCCGAGTCACACAGCTAACATCAGGCACATTCAAAATCACTTCAAAATATAATATTGCAAGTTATCTCTTCCACCAGTACTCTTCAAGCTAAGCACTTTCTGTCTCAGGCAGGCAAGTTAGGAAACCGAAATGCTACTACAGTACTTCTTTATCTCATCCTATTTGAACGATAAAATACATTCATTTTTCTTTCAGGACCTACTGAAGGATTAGTGGTAAGGAACAAACGGCAATAGTGGAAGGATATTACATATTGTGTGCATTTATGAGCATGAACATACAGACAGGGGAACATGTGCATTGTGCACTTTTCCCTTCCCTTGGCAGTATTAACTATAAGCAATTCTGTTGAGCGATGCCACTGGGAGGATCAGTCTTCCTGGACTCCTGCACCATGCCCTTCACACACAAGCCTCGCAAGCCTGCTAAAGCTTCATAGCACTTCTGGAAAAATTCTGTAGTACTGTATAGGTCTTTTAACTTTGTCAGACTCCACAGTGGGGAAAGTGGAAAAGAACCAGTGCTGACCTGAGGAAAAGGGAAGTCCTGCCCTGAGATATTTTAACATTCAAGAGAAAGAGACCTTCTAGGTTGTGTAGAGGAAAATAAAGTAATATTTCAGGCAAGTCAGAACTTCTGACAAATTCTGTTTCAGGAGAAGTAAAACACAATTTTGTGGCTTGATGCCACTTATCTGGAATTTCCCTCTAACCAACAGGAGATATCATAGACAAGAGCAAGCTGCCAGAGGTTCAACATGCCAACTCTTCACCTCCTCAATTTTCAGCTTCCACCGTCCTGTCGGCCAGCTTGCCACAGGTGAGAGACATTAAGGTATTGAGACTCCCTACCTTGCAGCAGCAATACAGGAGCCTGCCTGAAATCTCAACTTTAATGCTCTTTAAGCCTACAAAACTGAAATTATCCAGAACTTTTCAAAAAGCAGCTGTGAAAAATCAAGCTGATTTTTTCCCAGTGGTAAAGGTATAGAAATTGGCAATGTTTGGCAGAAAGAGCATTTTGCATTGAAAACCACCTCCAACAGAGCATATCTTACTAACTCTAAGCTGAAATGTAAATACTTGTTCTCCCATTCTCACAGCTCTCCAGCTGTGCATTAATCCCAGAAAAAAAAATTGCTTCTTCCTCCTGTCTTTGCTATTCTTACGAGCTTCTTGTGGCTGTGCCAACACCCCTATTTCTGATTCTGCCAAATCCTTTGATTCCAATGGGACAACATATAGACCCAGGCTGGGGAGAGGAGAGGAAAAAAATCACAGACCGCTTTTGCCCTTACCTACCTACCTACACACACCACCCCACACCCATCCACTCTCCATAGTGGTAGCAGACTTTTCAATGGGAATATGATGACACCTTGAGGCAATCACATTTTCCGCAGAACTACAGAACAGAAAAGACAGGAAATATTTGAATTAGGAGGGCATAGCTTAGGCAACCTCCTCACTGGAAAATGCAGAACTAAAGGTAGGAAACAGTGGGAGAAAATAACAGGAAAAGTATGTTACCACCAACAGTTAGATGCCCCTGACTATAACAGTATGGTGGACTCAGCAGCGAGGGATGCCATTTTAACAAACTGTGACTGAACTGGAAACACCACAAATAAGTATCTCTTTTTCAGAGAGTTCAGAAAACTGTAACACCATATCTTTCACAGTGATTTCTAAAGCCTTTTTGATGAGTAGGAAAATAATCATTCGAATACAGTTGTTTCTCTACACAGTTGTTCTCACCGTAGGCATACTTCTTGGCTAGTCTCAGCCACGATCTAGCCATTTTCTGTAACTTTTGCAGAAGGAACAAAGGGGCCAGAACACACCAGAGGATCTGTTCCGGCTATTACTGGCACAGGCAGACTACAGAGGGGAAGAGGATGTCAGTTCTGAGAAAAGAAGGAATTGACTGCATCCAACTCCTATTTAACCTACTCCTTCCCACAAAACCAATCCAGATAAAATTCAAGTGGTGTGTGAAAAGCCTTCCAGGTTTTTCAAAGTATCAGCACACACCAGATCTTCCAGCAGCTACTGTGAGCTAAGGTAAAATAAATAAACTAGAAGTGGTACCATAAGAATTCCTTGCCAAGACACATTAACTTCACATGATCATAAAACCCTCAGAAAATGCAGGGAAGAAGGATGTTATTGCTATAGTAGAAGATCCCTAAATAAATACAAACACACATTCCTGTGTTCTTATAGTAACCTCTCAGTTTCTGCAGCTTCCTTTTTTTATCATAGTTTTTGATGATGGCGGTGGTGGGTCATAGTCAGATACTTTTTGTTCCTGCAGTTGCCAGAAGAAATACAAAGGATGGAGTTTGGCTGCAGAGTGTGTCTAGCCATCCCAGGCAGGGCAAGGCCAGCTTCTGGATATAGAGCACGTAGTCAGATAGTTGTTTATATTCTCAACAATTTCTTGTTTACCTTTCAGTTTCTTTGTGTCACAGGCAGCTTTGAATCCTTTGTCACTGTGCATGTAGCAAGCTGCAACATGGAAGTATTACCTATTCCCACAAAGTAAATGGAAACTTAATGCTGATCTTTCAAAAGAGAAAACTGTTACACTCTCCTTTTTTGTACCTTTGTATTACCCTCTGGTAGGTAACCTCTCCCCAGTAATCGGCACTGAGAATTAAGGCTGAGAATGGACATACCACCACTAAGAGTGGCTGGAAAGGTTGTTAAAAATACCATATGGTACAGCTCCTTGCACCAGACACAGTTGCTTAGCAGATTTCATTAAATAATTTTCATTGAAAAAATAATCCATGATCATTTAGTTGAATCTGTAGTTTCCCTTAGAGATTCATCCATTTATCTCTGAGAAACTTTTCTTTCATTGTTTAACTCGTCACTGAAGTTTCTTCAGTGTTTTTGTATTTTCATTATAAGCTCTTCCCACAAAGACACAGCTACTCTTTCTTCCTTCTAGGCACCAACTTTTCTCACATTGGCCTTTGTTTCTGACTTTTGCAACAAAAGTGCTTAAAAGTTTCAGTTCTTGAAAACTCACCTCAGCTCTAAGCTGCCATCAACCTGAACCTTACAAACCCTACATTCCCTCACGGGGTTTTACTAAGCAGAATATAATCACAAAACAGAGTGTGTGACAGGTTTTTTCTACCCTCACAAGGAGAAGGAGAGAGCATGGACACGCATGAAGGCTCTGTGGAGAGTGGGTTCAAAGACCACATAGCTGTTCTGATAACAGCAGGGCTGGCTTTACGCACATGGGACATGCACTTTCAGGACAGATGCCAATGCAAGACGGACCTATCTTCTCCTGGATGCAATCTCACTACTCTGAAACATGACGAGCTGTCAGAAATGCAGTATTCAAAAGTGTTGTAAAGCAAATAATATGGACTGCACTGAGGTATGCATTCTTGTTTCGCATTAGATAACAAGGGTGTTCTCACTAGTTGTTGTAAATCATGAAGTTTTGCAGCTAGCTTTTACCCCCTAATTTGAATTCGTCTCACAGTATTTGTGCTCATCCTTATCAACTAGCTGGAGGGGGAAATTCTTGGGGGATAAGCCACAGAACCAGAACTCCATCCTTTTTGATAACTTTCATTTGGAACTCAATTGTTATTTTACATTAATCCTTTTATCCACCTCATTCTCAAACTAAAGTAGCTTAACTACTCTCCTTGCAAATCATTTCATTTATTTTTACAGTGGCCATTGCAAGGGCAGGGGACGACAGAACCACACGGACCAACACTCTCTATCCCATCCCCATACTATGCAGACTGATAAAGGAAAGAAAAATGCATGTATGGTGTACATCTTACTTGCTCAACAACAGGTTATGATGCAGACAGTAACTAGTGAGGTTATACAGTTTCCATAGTGACCAACTCATTGAAATGATCTATTTCTGGAATTCCATCAGAGATCACCAGTGTGGTTAGACTGGAAGTGTTCTGCAATCAGGGTCGGCCATCAGCTAAGCAGTGAGCAATGGAGGAATTCATTTCCCCAGGAATATTTTTGTGAAAATTAAACCACCTTGCAAATGGCAGGAATATACCAAAATGTGCCTTGATTTATATTTTAATCCCATTTTTATTGGTAAGTATTACTGAGTCTATCAAACTGTGCTTTAAATGATTCTGAATGTGTCATGCTAATTCTATGACCATCCATAAAAGTACTTGTCACCCTTACATTACAACGGAAAGCATTAACCTACGCATTATTGCAGGATTACTGACGATACTAGAGTAACATATTCTAAGCAAAACTTCAGATTTCTAAAGAGCAATCACTGAATCTTGCTCCAAGGGATCTATAAGACACCATGCTGTATATGGCCTACACTCCAACAATCCACCTGAATGTACCTAATAATATTTTCCAAAGGCACTACTTGGTCAAATTTAACCCAGGTCATAGAATCATTAAGGTTGGAAGAGACCTCCAAGATCATCGAGTCCAACCGTCAACCCAACACCACCATGCCCACTAAACCATGTCCCTAAGCGCCTCATCTACACATCTTTTAAATACTTCCAGGGATGGTGACTCAACCACTTCCCTGGGCAGCCTCTTCCAATGTTTAACTACTCTTTCAGTAAAGACATTTTTCCTCATGTCCAATCTAAACCTCCCCCAGCGCAACTTGAGGCCATTTCCTCTCGTCCTATCACTTGTTTCTTGGGAGAAGAGACCGACCCCCACCTCGCTACAACCTCCTTTCAGGTAGTTGTAGAGAGTGACAAGGTCTCCCCTGAGCCTCCTTTTCTCCAGGCTAAACAACCCCAGTTCCCTCAGCCGCTCCTCAGAAGACTTGTTCTCCAGACCCTTCACCAGCCTCGTTGCCCTTCTCTGGACACTTGTAAGGTCAACTTACAAAAGGCAGTGCATTTACTACATCTTTGTGACATTTTAATTACGGACCCCATTTCTGCCAGCCCCAGCATTTCACTACTTGTAGTGCCAGAGCTTATGGGAATTAGATTCCATGGGAACTCTCTCAAAACATCCACTCTTTTCCACCACATAGAAATACTACCTCCGCTCGCTTTTGGTTTTAATTCTTACTGATCTTCATTGCTATAGAAGTCTCTAGCAGAGCAGCCTAGAAGATGGATAATGAAGCTGAGTGCAAAACACTCTGAAATTAATTTTACCTTTGTTAAAATCTGTACTTCGCTCAATTTCCCCCCCCCCCCCTTTTTTTTTTTAATCAGAAAAACATATGACAAACTAAAGGGATGCTAACTGCTGATATCTGTAAAACAACCGGGAGACGGACGATGTAACTAATGTGCCTTATACTATCAGTTATGTGATTCAGCTCTCAGTGGCCTGTTCACCTACAGAGAAATTCCCTAAGTTCCCAATGAGTCCAGTGCTGTTTCTTTCCATTTTTGCATTACCTTCAGCCTAAGCTTTTGGATGCACCTTTGTTTTGCATTGTACTGAGACAACACTGCTCTTTCAGCAAAGTACTCGCTTCAAATCTTTACAAGGATTTTGAATCATGGGTAGAGCCAACGCACAAGAACATCATTCCTTCCTTATGTATTACCTCTCTAGGCAGTGTGCTGAGTATCTTCTCATTTCAGCATATTGTGTGCAAGAAATGCCTCTTATGCTTCAACTGCTTTTAATGTAGAAAGAAGCAGCTTTGCTCAAAAGGCAAGACACATTGCCTCACTATGGTAGGAGAGTTATTAACAATAACAATGACCAAATTCTGAAACTGTGCCACCTTTTTAATTTAGCAGTACATTTCGGTAGGAGGATACCTTTACAGATACCCATTTGCTTAAACAAAATCCGGTCTCAATGGATTTTCTGATTCAGGTTTGCAGGTACTTCCCCTTGATTACAGTGAAGCTCAATGAAACAAATAGGGCCCATGTTCACCACTTCCTACATATGCCATTTCGCTTAGGGTGTTAGTTCTGTGACACACTTTCTTAAAATTTTCATTCAATCCTAACTAATAAAAGACAGCTGTACTGAAATAAAGAAAGCTAATAAAAATATGTCTATGTTAGGATTTTATACAGAGGCTATGATCTTAACGTATAGGTAAAATTTGAGAAAAGCTGTAAAGGTACTTACCAATTAGATAGTAGGTTATATATTTAATGCACAACAAACCAAATGTTTGTTATAAATGTTGTGCCACTGGACAAACTCTTCAGTGAAGAACATAAAGGAAGGAAGGGGAAAGGAAGTTGAGGAAACCCCCTGAACTCCCACATTGTATGGCTCTGCAGACAAAAATCTCCTCTCCCATTAGCTCACCTTTGGCTAGTGATCTTTGTCCTGTTGCATCTGGCAGAGCTAGACAATGTGTATCCGGAGGTAAAAAAGAGTTTTGGGATCCACCACTGGGTTTGGAAAGCCAGACCTCCTGGCTTTCTGCCGCTTCTCCACAGTCTACTTCTGGCGGCTCATCAGAGTGGATCTGTACGCAGAAAGTTAAAGGCTGATCACCCTCTTCTGTGGCAGAGCTGTTAACTAGGTCAAGCCAGGACTGCCTCTCAGAATAAACCACTTTGGACATCAAGGAAGAAGATGACTCTTGGGAGTTGAAAGTGCTTTCAGGTGAGGAGAGAGAACAAGATGCTTCACTTGACACAGTCGAGGTGAAAGAAGACTTCTGCTGATCCTGCTTTCCAGAAACAAGTGAGGGAGGGAAAGAAAAAAGAAAAATTATTGCCAAGTTATTCCTGTTCCCAGGTTCTACACATTATAGATATGCAGCTGAAATGCTAACTGACCAAAAATTGATGTAATCTGATTAATTATCCATCCAAACAAGCCTGAGGTATGGCAACCAATCTCCCACAGAGCAGTAACTTCAGAAACTAAGCCACAAGGAAGCCAGAGGTAAAACAGATAAAAGCCTGACAATGCCTAGAAACAAAAGACCAAGGAAAAATACTGTGTTGAATGTAGCCTTTCATGCTAGGTCTCACACTCATGTTCACTCTTTACTTTGTCTTCATTTTATTGGTCTAATCAAGAGTGCAGAAGAGAAACTCTGAATTAGCCATTGAACTTGAAGTTGTCTTGAAGCATGCAATAAATCTACCAATGCCATAACCACAGATAGAAAGAAATGGGCCCAAGCACTAAAGTACCTTGACCTTCTCAGCACACAAAGCCATTTTACCTGGTCCATTCAAGGGACTAATCATTCACCAAGGCAAGAAGGCTGACGGGTAATATGATGGCAAGTTAATCGTGGAAAGAAAAAACAGACAGCCATGGGGCAGAGGGCAGGAAAAGGGGAATGGTACAAGATTTGTGCTGCTCGTTCACCTGCTAAGATTCATCCTTTAGCACATGAATCTGGAAAGGGACCTAAACTTCACTAGAAACACATCAGAAATCATTAAGACATCCTAGGGCCCTCCATACTGTACTTGTCACCCTGCATCAACAAGAGCGCATATAACCAGAGAGGTCTCAGAGACCTCTAACAGTCATCGTTAGGAGCTAGAAGTTGAATGAAAGAGGGTATGATAGATGCACAATTCCATGTAAAGAAAGATTGAGGGAAAGAACAAAGTTTTACAAAGTATTTAGCTTCCCAGACAAGCTAATAGATGCCTAGGTCTTTGTCTAGAGTAGGCATTTACATTGCTTGAGTTGTACTATTATCTGGTCACCAAAAGCAACTCACACAATAAGAACTAGCACTAGTCTTCTTCTTAGCCACCAAACACCACTGAAAAGATGAGCCAAGAGAGTCAAATATACAAGTAATACATACACAAACACACAAATATACATACAAATACCCAGAAGAGGATTAATTGACAGTAATAAATAAAGTAGTGGAAGACAAGGGGAGACAAAGCCTTATAGTGAAACTCTTAGCAGAAACTATCAGAAATTGTGGTGAGATCATCATGATACGAAAGCCAGATTTCTTGTATCTGCTACTGCAGAAATTTACTCCTGCAAATCATCTGCTACTGACCAATGCCAGAATCAGAATACCAGAGTTGATGGACCATAATTCTGGCAAGTTTATGTTCTCAATACATGTGTAGAATAGATCTGTGTAAGGATTAAAACAGATGATAACTAAACTGGAAATACTGAAAATTACTGAGAAGGTGTTGCTAGGGAAACCCAGACAGGCTGCAAACACAATAAAGGGACTAGCCTGGAATACTTATTAATAATCTGGTAAAATAGAAATAAGATGTATTCATATAAACCAAACCAAGAGTGACAATTTTCTGGATTATGATATATAAAACTCTGCAATTCAGTGTTGCTGTAATGTATACTTACTTCCTTTTTACATTAAAAAAACCAAAGTAGATTTGCCTTCCTGTGCTTCTGATCTAGCTGTATCATGCAGCTACTAACCAATTCAGAAGATGAGAAGGACCAATATCAGATTGTGGGTCACCATCTGTTTGTAGCACTTTCTTCACTTTTGTAAATTTTCAAAGCCATTCCTCCAAGACGGTCCCAAACACGGCGGAACCAGACTTAATTTATATTCCTATTACAAGAAGTACAACATTGTGTTTAAGGTGCATTTTTGTTTTTAAAAAGGAAACCTTCACAAATGCACCCTAAAGCAAAGGACAAGGAGATGCTGTCATAAACTACATGTATGAGTGATAAAAACGCCCTTGGGAACACAGGTGACCTGAAGCATTTCATCTAAGAGCTCCTATTGCAAAGGCAAATTGTTGAAGCATTTGTACAGCCAAGCAGAACAACCAACAGTAAAAGCTCTTGCTCATATGATGTGGATGGTCTAATTTCAATTTTTCAAAGACAGGAAAGGAAGATGTTAGATCTCACCTCTATTTTTCTGGCATTTGTCCATGCAAAAGAAAATGCATTGAAATGAAAACTGTGCCTGCCTGAGTGGAATATATTTTTGTTTTCATTTTCATTGTGTGTTAAATAAAAAAATGTGGGTGAGAATAAGGATGACTGCCAGAATGTGTTTCTCTTTTTCTACATATGTGTTGTGGGTTTTTTTTTTTTCTTTGGCATGACAAATGTTTACCTAACTTACCCGAGTGGTTCCTTTGGAAGTTTTGCAATCATCCATATAATAATAAATCTCCATTTGGAGACATTTTAAAAAGCAGGTGCTTGAGCCAGCAGATCGTAAGGATTCAGCTGGAGATCAATGAGTCTCTAGGCGTTTTTTAGAGAAACATTATCACCATGAAACACCTCAACTGCTCTTTTGGGACTGCTGCAATCTATTGTCTCAACATAGCTGCTGGTTTTTGAACTGTACGTCCATTCACATGTGGAGGAGTTAATGCAGACGGTAGTTTAACTTTTGTCCTATCATATGATGTGGATGGTCTAATTTCAATTTTTCAAAGACAGGAAAGGAAGATGTTAGATCTCACCTCTATTTTTCTGGCATTTGTCCATGCAAAAGAAAATGCATTGAAATGAAAACTGTGCCTGCCTGAGTGGAATATATTTTTGTTTTCATTTTCATTGTGTGTTAAATAAAAAAATGTGGGTGAGAATAAGGATGACTGCCAGAATGTGTTTCTCTTTTTCTACATATGTGTTGTGGGTTTTTTTTTTTTTTCTTTGGCATGACAAATGTTTACCTAACTTACTCGAGTGGTTCCTTTGGAAGTTTTGCAATCATCCATATAATAATAAATCTCCATTTGGAGACATTTTAAAAAGCAGGTGCTTGAGCCAGCAGATCGTAAGGATTCAGCCGGAGATCAATGAGTCTCTAGGCGTTTTTTAGAGAAACATTATCACCATGAAACACCTCAACTGCTCTTTTGGGACTGCTGCAATCTATTGTCTCAACATAGCTGCTGGTTTTTGAACTGTACGTCCATTCACATGTGGAGGAGTTAATGCAGACGGTAGTTTAACTTTTGTCCTACAGATGTTAAAATGTACTTGTTCCTCACTTGCTTTTTTCTTCCACAGTACACAAAAGCACGCATAAACATGGAAAGCTCATGTTCACTGTGTTTTTCTTTTTCAAGTTTCAGAACGTTTGAGTCAGCAGAGAACAGAACAGCAAGTGAAAACTTTGTGCTAGAAGTACAGCAAAATATTTGCTGCCCTAACACATAACAGAGCTTGCACTTGGATGGCTATTAGTTTCCAGACTAATAGTTTTCAGTCTGGCGTTGATCTCAAGAAGTTTGGAGACCTTTGCTTAAGACAACATTGGTTTGATTTTCCAACGTGTCCATAGTTCTTAATGCCTATTTTGCAAAATCCCTTTGGCACTCAGGAGGAAGCAGTGCAACTTTAAAAAAAGATAAAAATCATAAAGAGAAATTAACCCCAGACAATGCCTGTGGTATTCTTGATGCTGGGCTGGGTTTCCATGATGAGTGTCTCTTCCAGTGGCAATCTGAAAAGATTCAAGCAGGCCTTCCAAAAATGGTGTACCCACAGAGTATCAACCTAAACCCATCACATGTTTGGGACCTCATAGCTTCGTTCAAAAACTCTGCAGTGAATGAACAGGCAGCAAGCAATGTTTAACCAGCCTTCCCTGGGACAACCAAGAGCTCCACTCCTAGAATTGACTTCCCAGTGAAAACTGTGCTTTCCTAATCCTTCCAGTGGTTTTCTTGCTCCAGTACTTGTCCAGAAGGGGGAGGGGCATTAAATTGGGTATTTAAAAGTCAACTGACTTGCAGTCAAACACAGCTCCGTTGGTACCTAGCTGCTCCCTACCCACCACACGAGCAAGCTGAGCATAGGGCAGACACATGGAAGCTGGAGCTTATTTCAGTAGCCACTTCTGGGATGAAAAGATGACAACTTTGCTCAGGAGATACTAACCTTTTTCCATGGGGGAAAGCTGGGGATGAGGAGAAGGAAAATCAGCTGAGAGAGGTAGAGGCTGGAGGGAAGATAGGCTTTAAGGGAAAGGCTGAGGAAGCAGGACCACTCAGCACATGCACCGTTGCCTGTCTCCCACGCGTCCCCTGCTAAAACGTGGAGGCCAGCACTCAAGAAGAGCATATGGGAAGGATACAACCGGAGATTGCCTCTGCAGCGACAGACTGACAAGCAGCAGGAAGCCAGAAAAACAGAAAACTAAAAAACAGCACCTGTTTAAAACTCATCATCTGGAAAAATGCAGGCATTCATTCAGAGGTGAGCAGACAGAAAAGACATCTACAGCCTCTTAAAGGCAAGCCACTGAGGTATAAAATTCAAGATGCTTCATTATCAAGCCCTCGGCCCAGAATAACTCTTGGACACGTATTGCCAAGGTTCCTATTTTCTCCAATATTTATAGCCACTCAGCCACATTTAACTTCCAGTTAATACAGGCAATAAAGAATCATGTTTTACACAGCAGTGAACACCATGCACCCCCTGCGTGCCAGGTGGATTGTTTTACAGTGATTAACGTTACACAACTGTTTCAGGAGAGGAAGACTGACTTATCTGACTGAAACAGAAGGGGGCAAGTGGGTGACAGTGTGACATACGCTCCCAGCTTTATGCGAGCTAATGAAAGACTGCCAGACAGGCAATCCTGTGCATGACATCTCCTTTTATTATTGCCTGTGACCGCACAAGCTTCTCCAGCTCATCTATATTTTTCAAATTTGTTCCTGCTTCGCTGCCTCTGCGCCCACCCCAGCTACTGGATATCATTTCAGCGTGCCATACAGGAACCTGTACCACATCCATGACAGCAGACGCTTCCCTTCCATGAGATGCAATGAGATGATTTATATATTACTAAGTATATTACTGCATACCCCTTGATGTTAACTTTCAGCTGGGGAAGGGAAAGGCTTGAACTCAGGATTCCTTATTTCAGCTGCATTACCGTCCCAAACCAGATTACTCATTTCTAAACACAGAATTAAGTAAACCTCGTATCTTAAAGCACATGTAAGGGGATATGAGATCACTGGGGAAAGCAACAATATAGAAACAAGATTAATAGGGTGATAAGTGGCTAATAATTAGGTGAGTCAATTTGATTAGACACATGAGGGTGCATAGTGCTTATTCTAATTTATGAAATGAAGTGAGGAGGGGAGGAATATTCTGGATGAATACTCTACAGCAAGAGAGAAAAATAGTATAGATTTTGGGAGGATGCTTGTTTTCTTTTTTTGTAGTCTATTTTTCAGAGGTAGAGGAAAAGAACTGATTTTACTGAAGTAAGAAGA